GTTTGTTATAAGAATAATGCGTCCAATTTTACATGTGACTTTCCTATTTTGTAAATTTCACTTTATTTCGGTATTGTATCAATTGGTGATTATAAACACATGAAATAACTTTATACATTTAATGTGTTACATACTTATACAAGTGAATTTCCTCGTTTCCTGACGAGTTCAAATTCTCCCCTTGGAGAGTACGAAGAGTTGCAGACCCATGTCTCGTCTGCTTCGGATAAAACGGACTTCAGTACTGTTTTAACCGAAATTAAGAAAATCTACCAAATAGAAATCCTCACGAACGCCCATGCTCGACAACAGTGGTGCCCTTGTTTACAAGGCTATAGGGTATCACCGTTATGTCCCCGAGAAGTGCCTTGTAAAACACCAAAGGCTTATCCCTCCTTGGGATAAACACCATACATGGTAGTTCCCCTGAACTACCATTCCAACTCCCATACAACCATTGGACAACCCGAATCCATGATATATAGTGGTCTTACCAGGTCAGGATTGCCAATAAAATACCATTCCAATGCTACTACCATAAGTCTGGCCGTTGACATAAATATATATTCGTAAAACACACACACACACACATACACACACACACACACACACACACACACACACACACACACACACATATATATATATATATATATATATATATATATATATATATATATATATATATACCTATATTTACATATACCATATTCAAGACACCTTAGTCTATTAGGTACAACGGTTATACTTTTTAAATAGATCTATTACAGTGATATGAGACAGACAGAATCAGTGTAGTGTTTGGCTTTGCATCCAAATGCCTAATGTCACTGATAATTTAGGAAATTACATTTGTAATGATTATGATATTATAATGATATTCATTGATAATTTCCTTATTTTTATTATGATTATTAGTCTTAGTCTTAGTCTAAGATAATTTCGGAAATGATAGTATGTTTTCGCTTTTAAAGTGCTCGCGTTGGAAGACGATGAATTTTGACATACGGTTGTTTGAAAAATTGTTTTGTTACTTTTTATTTGTAGAGGTATTAGCCAATGATGATATACTCTCCCCTGTGAATTTATGCATGAGTATACACGTGTCATACCTATATTCTTGGTGTGCTCTTAACCATTTCAGTTGGCATGCACGGGTGGTTGTGTAGTCCTATTTATTTACACTGCCTAATACTCTCGATAAGAAATTTTGTGATTTTGTTTGTTTTGCTTTGTTTTTGTTGTTGACAAGAGTTCCTAATGCTGAGGTTGTGGGTTTGTACCGCAGTAATATTTGCTATCGTTGGTACTTTGTTCTTTATATGTTCGTTATGTAATTTGGATAACCATGCTTTATATGTTCGTTATGTAATTTGGATAACCATAAAAATGTGCCCATGACTTTTCTATAAATGTTATCTCCGTAGTAATACATCTATTAATGAACACTCTTAGATTTGTAACCGAGATGCTTGGTGTGATATTACGGCTTTCAAATTCTACGATTGTGTCGGTGGATATTGGCAGTGGATTTCCTATTAATTCACTTAAAAGTTCCTTGTCGAGGCAGTGTGAAGAACTGGGAGTCATCAGCTTATTAAACAAGAAGACAATGCTTTATAGTAGTTGACAGATCGGTGATGAATGCCGTGAGCAAGATTGGGCCTAGTATGGAACATATATATATATATATATATATATATATATATATATATATATATATATATATATATATATATATATATATATATATATATATATATATATATATATATATATATATATATATATATATATATATATATATATATATATATATATATATATATATATATATATATATATATATATATATATATATATATATATATATATATATATATATATATATATATATATATATATATATATATATATATATATATATATATATATATATATATATATATATATATATATATATATATATATATATATATATATATATATATATATATATATATATATATATATATATATATATATATATATATATATATATATATATATATATATATATATATATATATATATATATATATATATATATATATATATATATATATATATATATATATATATATATATATATATATATATATATATATATATATATATATATATATATATATATATATATATATATATATATATATATATATATATATATATATATATATATATATATATATATATATATATATATATATATATATATATATATATATATATATATATATATATATATATATATATATATATATATATATATATATATATATATATATATATATATATATATATATATATATATATATATATATATATATATATATATATATATATATATATATATATATATATATATATATATATATATATATATATATATATATATATATATATATATATATATATATATATATATATATATATATATATATATATATATATATATATATATATATATATATATATATATATATATATATATATATATATATATATATATATATATATATATATATATATATATATATATATATATATATATATATATATATATATATATATATATATATATATATATATATATATATATATATATATATATATATATATATATATATATATATATATATATATATATATATATATATATATATATATATATATATATATATATATATATATATATATATATATATATATATATATATATATATATATATATATATATATATATATATATATATATATATATATATATATATATATATATATATATATATATATATATATATATATATATATATATATATATATATATATATATATATATATATATATATATATATATATATATATATATATATATATATATATATATATATATATATATATATATATATATATATATATATATATATATATATATATATATATATATATATATATATATATATATATATATATATATATATATATATATATATATATATATATATATATATATATATATATATATATATATATATATATATATATATATATATATATATATATATATATATATATATATATATATATATATATATATATATATATATATATATATATATATATATATATATATATATATATATATATATATATATATATATATATATATATATATATATATATATATATATATATATATATATATATATATATATATATATATATATATATATATATATATATATATATATATATATATATATATATATATATATATATATATATATATATATATATATATATATATATATATATATATATATATATATATATATATATATATATATATATATATATATATATATATATATATATATATATATATATATATATATATATATATATATATATATATATATATATATATATATATATATATATATATATATATATATATATATATATATATATATATATATATATATATATATATATATATATATATATATATATATATATATATATATATATATATATATATATATATATATATATATATATATATATATATATATATATATATATATATATATATATATATATATATATATATATATATATATATATATATATATATATATATATATATATATATATATATATATATATATATATATATATATATATATATATATATATATATATATATATATATATATATATATATATATATATATATATATATATATATATATATATATATATATATATATATATATATATATATATATATATATATATATATATATATATATATATATATATATATATATATATATATATATATATATATATATATATATATATATATATATATATATATATATATATATATATATATATATATATATATATATATATATATATATATATATATATATATATATATATATATATATATATATATATATATATATATATATATATATATATATATATATATATATATATATATATATATATATATATATATATATATATATATATATATATATATATATATATATATATATATATATATATATATATATATATATATATATATATATATATATATATATATATATATATATATATATATATATATATATATATATATATATATATATATATATATATATATATATATATATATATATATATATATATATATTATATAGATTTTTCAGTTCGTTTAGTTTAGTTCGTTAAGATTTTTTTATGGTTAGTACTGCCAAAAGTTCTAAGTAAGTCACAAAGTATGTGTAGATGTAATTGATTAGTGTCTGTCATAAATTTCGTTTGTGGTTTCCAGTTGAGTTGGCCGTTGCCTTCCTTTTAAACCCACACTGCGTCTTAGAGTTCATTGTCGGAATGATGTTAATTGGTTTGCCAATATTTACTCAAGTACTTTAGATATTGCAGGGTAGAGTGGAGTGAGAAGGCGATAATCATTCAGTTCATATGCATATCCTGATTTGAAAAGAGGTGTTATAGCTGTGTTAAAAATAATGGTTTTATAGTATCCAACTTGAAATGGATTTTCCTTGGTGAATCGCTAGACCAAAAGACAAATGCTTGTGTATAAAATGTAGCAGTTGGACTTGAATCAATAGTGTTAAATATGTTAGTTACCCCTTTGATGCTCAGAACACCACGTTTTCTGTGTTTACCCTCAGTTCCTTTGTTATTATCTCATTAAAAAATATCTATATTTTTTTTATAAATAAATAGTAAGTTTTCTATATGTGCTCTAGAACAATATTGCATAATCTATATATCATTAAAAACTAGAATAGAGAAGTGCTTATTTTCCATAAAAAAATATATTTGTGTGTAACCATTGAAAAATAAAGGCCACTACATGGCACTGCCAGCTCACCACCTGTTTCATTGAGCACCCCAACCCTCGCTCCTGCTTCTTCATGCCTTGTTGACAAATGTGGGTCTAGTGAGACCTTGCAAATAGTTTAAAGTGCACAGAAATGCTTCTTGTGTATAAGTGAAGTATGCAGATCATTCTTATGATGATTGCGTATAACTAAGTTACTGTGTTTAACTGGATATCAAGTTCCTTTTATAAATAGCAATTTTATTTCCAGAAAGGAGCGCCTTACATGAATTCTGCAACTTTTTTTTTACGTACAGATTAGTGGTGGAGTATACCGTATCAGCGTTCTGTTCTGTGGATTGCAGGAGACTCTTTCTGTGCTTTATTTAGATTGCACAGATGTGATTTGATATGAAATTGATGGGTTATTCTTTTAGCTGTCGATTTTAAGTATCGAATGAGGTATGATCTCTTTTTCAATGTTCTCACACACGCAACAGTTATAATTACAGTTTCTGCCTTTTATGCTCATTAAAACTCCTATGTTATTTAATTCTGCTTGCTTTCAGTAGAACCGATTTCGATTAAACGTGTGCAGTACTGTCACTTGAACCTTTCAGACTTCTGGGAGACTAACATTCTAAAATAAATATTCTGAAACACATTTTTAATTTCTAAAACAAATTCTAAAACAATTTTTAATTCTAAAACAAATTTTAATTCTAAAACAATTTTTAATTCTAAAACAAATTTTAATTCTAAAACATTGAGGAAATTAGGTATTCTAAAACAATTTTTAATTCTAAAACAATTTTTAATTCTAAAACAATTTTTAATTCAAAAACAAATTTTGATTCTAAAACATTGAGGAAATTAGGTATTCTAAAACAATTTTTAATTCAAAAACAAATTTTGATTCTAAAACATTGAGGAAATTAGGTATTCTAAAACAATTTTTAATTCTAAAACAATTTTTAATTCAAAAACAAATTTTGATTCTAAAACATTGAGGAAATTAGGTATTCTAAAACAATTTTTAATTCTAAAACAATTTTTAATTCTAAAACAATTTTTAATTCAAAAACAAATTTTGATTCTAAAACATTGAGGAAATTAGGTATTCTAAAACAATTTTTAATTCTAAAACAATTTTTAATTCAAAAACAAATTTTGATTCTAAAACATTGAGGAAATTAGGTATTCTAAAACAATTTTTAATTCTAAAACAAATTTTAATTCTAAAACAATTTTTAATTCTAAAACAATTTTTAATTCTAAAACAATTTTTAATTCAAAAACAAATTTTGATTCTAAAACATTGAGGAAATTAGGTATTCTAAAACAATTTTTAATTCTAAAACAAATTTTAATTCTAAAACAATTTTTAATTCTAAAACAAATTTTAATTCTAAAACAAATTTTAATTCTAAAACAATTTTTAATTCTAAAACAATTTTTAATTCTAAAACAATTTTTAATTCTAAAACAAATTTTAATTCTAAAACAATTTTTAATTCTAAAACAAATTTTAATTCTAAAACAATTTTTAATTCAAAAACAAATTTTGATTCTAAAACATTGAGGAAATTAGGTATTCTAAAACAATTTTTAATTCTAAAACAAATTTTAATTCTAAAACAATTTTTAATTCAAAAACAAATTTTGATTCTAAAACATTGAGGAAATTAGGTATTCTAAAACAATTTTTAATTCTAAAACAATTTTTAATTCTAAAACAATTTTTAATTCTAAAACAATTTTTAATTCTAAAACAAATTTTAATTCTAAAACAATTTTTAATTCTAAAACAAATTTTAATTCTAAAACAATTTTTAATTCAAAAACAAATTTTGATTCTAAAACATTGAGGAAATTAGGTATTCTAAAACAATTTTTAATTCTAAAACAAATTTTAATTCTAAAACAATTTTTAATTCAAAAACAAATTTTGATTCTAAAACATTGAGGAAATTAGGTATTCTAAAACAATTTTTAATTCTAAAACAATTTTTAATTCTAAAACAATTTTTAATTCAAAAACAAATTTTGATTCTAAAACATTGAGGAAATTAGGTATTCTAAAACAATTTTTAATTCTAAAACAATTTTTAATTCTAAAACAAATTTTAATTCTAAAACAATTTTTAATTCTAAAACAATTTTTAATTCAAAAACAAATTTTGATTCTAAAACATTGAGGAAATTAGGTATTCTAAAACAATTTTTAATTCTAAAACAATTTTTAATTCTAAAACAATTTTTAATTCTAAAACAATATTGAGAACCCCACAACCTTGAGTGGTGATCCGCCCCCCCCCCCCACACACACACACACACGAATAAAAATCAAGGGAATAAAACCAAAATATTCATCCTGATCATTTTATTAAAGTTCCCAATAATCAGCAGTTTGTCGGGCAGCATTTGGAAAGATAAGATCATAGAAATTCTACAATAATTATCGAGGAAAAAAAAAATTATCCTACACAAAAAACATTTCTTTTTTTTTAATCAATTAAAGAATTACAACAACAACAACAAAAAAAACTTCCATCACGAACATGGTAACAACAGGTAACAATAGACTTCACCCAAATTGCAATGGCGTTCGTGATGGTTTCTGTTCACTGGCGAGTCGGACTAACGAAAAAAAGCAATAATAAGGTCGTAGAATTTACACCTTATAATCCCAAAAACCCTACTTTTATCTTTGGTAGAGAAGACTATCTACTGCACACAGCACATCTGCCAAGTACAATGAAAGAGCATCTATACGTATAAAAAAAAAAACAATGAAAATCACAAAACCGAGATGAAGAGAAAAATATTTAAATAAAAAACATGAACTCAAACTATATGAGTAATGACTGGATTCTGAAGGAAAAAAAAGGACCTAACCTTCCCCGGTGCTACAAACGAAGAGATTTTTTTCCCCTGTATAGATTCAACACGTCCTTCCAGCGGATGTAGGGAAGCAAAGCAGTAAAGAGACAAAAGTACAATGTATCATCACATTACCTGCATAAAGCTCTTCACAGTGACTTACGTCTTATGCCCTAAAGCATTGCCTCTAACAAAGCAATTAGTTATTTACTCTGCAGATGCTTCGCTTCACTCGTTCTCCTTTTAAAGCAATCCTAAGAGTTAAAGATGATGCAGATTTAACATGAGAGATATGGACATAAAATGGAGTGTGACCTCATGATGTGATATATACATTATGCAAGAACCAGATAAAATACCAGATGATGGCATTACTATAACACAACCTGTCCTTCGACATGATATGTATGCATTCTAGCCAAATGCGAAAGTAAATGCACCACTTTTTTTCAACTGGGATTCAGACGAGGTACAGTGGCCTGCAGAGACCCTCACGGCTCCCCGGTCTCCGTGTCGCTCCCAATGGAATACGTGGGTAGGTATGTACTAAGATTCTTCTCGAGGTTCCTCAGGAGTTCGACGCTCTTCAGGGGCTCGTAATCCTTGCCGAAGTCCTTGGCTCTCCAGGGGCCGTTCAGGGCATCGTCGGTGTCGCTGGCACCTTCTTGCCCCTCGCTGGCCTTCCCGCCGTCGACGTCGCTCCGGCAAGTGCCAAGTCGCCCCGCGCCCTCCTCCTCCTCCTCCTCGTCCGAATGGCCGTCCTCCGCCACCGCACCCAACCTCCTCCTTAACCTGCCGCTCACTCCGAGAGAATTTTCCTTCTGGTTCGCCCCTTCTTCCTCGTCTTCGCTACTTGTAAGACTTGGAGAGAAGCTACTCAAGCCGAGACTGACTGGAGATGCTGCGGGGGAGAAGGGGGCGGCAGAGAGAGACGTAATGTTAGTGAAAGCTCATGAATGCCTAGATTCTATTCTATGGATTCATTATTACACTATTACTTGATGATACATATGGTCATTTTTTTAAAGTTTACTAACTTACATATAAATTAGTATAAAAACAAATTCCATTTTTTTTGTTTGTTTATTTTTTGTTATCAATCAGTGATTAAAATTGCTAGTATTTAACTCAATGGCGACGGGTACTGTCAACTTAAATCTCTAAGTATTAAGACACCAAGGAGGTAATTAGTATGCCATACGGGACTTCTCTATTCCTTGAATTTTCGGACTTTTTTTTACTAATGCTGTTAATATCATTATCGTTAGCATCATTACTAACATCATCATGATCATAATATCCTAACAATATCGTTACCAATAAAAATAAGGAAGATTCTTTCCGAAAATCAAGGAAAAGTGAAATAAGTAGGACGAGTAATTGACTCCTTGGTGACTAAGCACTCGTGGAGCCATCTATGTGTCAACAAAATTAATAAACTAAAATCAGAGTGGACATGACATGTATGACATGCCATCCCGCGCCAATGAATTAAGACATTTGCATGCAGGACAGTTAGGATTAGCTGGCAGATTAGGCCAATAATTTATCAAAATGGGAGAGTAAGGGAGTAAAGGCAAGAAAGAAAGTAAAAGATGGATTGAGAGAGAGAGAGAGAGAGAGAGAGAGAGAGAGAGAGAGAGAGAGAGAGAGAGAGAGAGAGAGAGAGAGAGAGAGAGAGAGGGAGAGAGAGAGAGAGGGAGAGAGAGAGAGAGAGAGAGAGAGAGAGAGAGAGAGAGAGAGAGAGAGAGAGAGAGAGAGAGAGAGAGAGAGAGAGAGAGGGAGAGAGAGAGAGAGAGAGAGGGAGAGAGGGAGAGAGAGAGAGAGAGAGAGAGAGAGAGAGAGAGAGAGAGAGAGAGAGAGAGAGAGAGAGAGAGAGAGAGAGAGAGAGAGAGAGAGATTCTATATCATCACAGAAAATAAAACAGAATATTATTTTTCAAAAATGTCTATTATCTGATTCATCATCATACAAGCAAATCATCTTGTAAAAAAAAAAAAAAACGAATTTACTTGAGTTTAAAGCGATCTCAACTGAAGAAAATATTAATCAAATTCAAGTCACTATTTTCCGTAGCTATGATTAACAAAGCTGATCAAACAAAACCTACATCTACGAAAGCATTACTACAAAATCAACACCTTAATTATTTTAAGCCCATTCGCCACTGCAAGCAACAACAACAACAAAAGGAATTAAGGCATAGATCAAGGGTAATTGTTAACATAAAATTATAATTGTTAACATAAAATTACCATCACCGTAAATGGCAGGAATGTGTTATCTTAAACAACTAAATTCATTGTTAACCTCACACCTGGAAGGAACCAACTAAAATCCCCTAACAAATAAATTAAATAAAAAAATAATAATGTAATTTATAGATAAAATCAAAAACGTACTTAGTAACAAAACCAAACTGAAGCGTAAAGTCAATCATTAGTGTATTAGGCCCATTGGCTAAACGTGATTCGAGTTTCTGAATTTACCAACACGCCAAACGCTGGTCGTCTGTCTGCCTTATCAGTCCAAATGCTTAGAGAATAAACCAAATATTTCCTAAAAGAAGAGAGTAGAGAGAATTGCATTGAGTTTTCCCATCTTTCTGGAGTACTTTTTTTTCTGTCCTTACCATTCATGATTCCACGTCTAAGAAAGCGTGGAAGGGAATTAAAATGGAAAGCATTGGTTAGCCCTTATTGACAGATCTTGAACTCGGAAGATTTTATGCCTAATAATTTTTCTATTCTATCTTTTAACTCTATCATTAGTATCTTATAAAAAAACGTCCTTAATCTGCAGACCCACGCCTTTCGAAACTAACATTAACAAGCTAATCCAAAAACCAGTACATTCCGTAATAGTGATATGACTATCTATAAATCTAAGAAACAGATCTAAATCAAGTAATGAAGAATAGCAGAATGAAAATCCTAAAGATAACTATTTGGAAAAGTTTAAAATCTTGGGAGATAAGAACTAGCTGAGTTTTATTGCATACACCTTCCAACTAGCTTTTATGAGTCTGGAACTTCTAATTCAAGAAACTAATTTTCAAGCTAGCGTATATTCTGATCTACTGCATGCACACTTTGTACATTTGGGGGACACTTTTTTTCCCCTTTAATATCTTGTATAGCTTAAATATCAGGTTACTTTTATTCTAACTTTTCTCAGAAAGCAAAAATCTTCATAACTTGAACTTATGTGTAGAGATATTATGACACAGTAGTCTAAGAGGTAATTAAATACGAACATTGCTTTACAAATAATGAACATCATGTCTCTTTCTCGTGGATATACAAAATGAATATTGACTGACTGTTAACTGTTTATAAAAGGGTCACAGGAAGTGAGCAGATATACAAGCTTAAGTTAAAATGCTCTTGGCATCACACAAATAAAAAAGCTTTTTGGCTTCTCTCAAATTCTGCATGAATAGTTCAGGCATTTGGGAAGCATTAATATGCAAACTGGGGTTAAATGCTGCTTTCTGTTGTTGGGAGTTAACGAGACTGGACAAGCTAAGCTTTGTGAGCAAGAGGAGACTTTGAGTCTTGTAAATATGCAAGCAACTGAGTCAAGTTCTCTGCTTTTAGCTTCATTTAGCAAACTTGTAATTTATGATTTCTCCAGAATTAATCCACAAATAATTTAAGAAGCTTTAATACTTTGCATGAATGATTGCATAAAGCTTTAGTGACACAATATTTTAATATATATTTCGTAAAAGCCGGGATTTTCATTTAAATCTCCATCTCCATATTGCCATATTTATCAAAATCATCTATTCCCTGACTATTATGCAACTATCAGAGCTCAAGTTATCAAGATTTTACCCAGAGTGCATATATATAATTGATTGTTTCTATAATTGATTGCTTCTGACATATCAAAACTTTGCTTCACAATAAATCACTTGCTCTAACTCTCAGCAAACCTAATTTACGTAAAAACCTTATGGACTGCGTTCTTTTTCCACGTTAGCTTACCTGACCCGTCCGCAAGCATGGAATGTGGTGCCCGGCTATCCAGTAGGTTCTCTGACGATCCTACTGAAAGCTGCATGTGTGGCTGCTGGAATAACAGTGCATTGAACTCGTCATCAAAGAACTCCTCCTCAACCTGTATGGAAGGAGAAAACAATTAGATCAAGCGAAGTATGTCCGCTGGCTACCAGAAGCTACTAAAACTCCATCAAACCTATAGAATCCTGTTGCTTCAAAGTGCATTAATCATTCTAGGCTTCCAAAGCAAGAAACAACACCCATCCTATCGCCCACAAAAGGATAGGGACAACTAACCTCAACTTCAGGACGCCGTCTGCTCTTACGAGGACGCGATCTCTGGCCCTCGGAATGGCGTCGTGGTTGAATCTTGACCGCTGTTTCTGCTAGCCCTGCTGAAGTCCCACTGATGCTGCTCCATCTCCGTCCAATGGCTGGTTGCTGTGAAAAATTATATACAAGTAAGCATTAAATTGTTGGTGTATATATAGTCTCTCCAGTATAGCTTCATTAAAATTTTCAGCTTTTGATTTGTTTACAGGATAGTAAAATACTTTTAATGTGATTACTAATAGTCAGACCACCTGTCTAGGCTTTTTGTGTCACTGAAGTCTCATAGTAAATGGTAAACTCTAACAACAAAACATACAAAGTTCAAATCATTCAAGAAATCCTCACTGATATAACTGAAACAAGTAATCTAACCTTAGCACTGGGATTTGTTGAAGATCGAGGGAGCGAGCTGTGATTCGAGGAGGGCCTGTTGCCTGCACTCGATGAGGGAGGTTGCAGTGAGTGCGAGGAACTGTTGATCTGGTGTGTGGGACTTGAGGGACCACTAGCCAGCGAACATGATGACGAATGACGTGTTAGCTGGTGGCTGGCTGGTTTGATACCGGTGATCTCGTCCCATCCTCGGCTTCCCTCTCTTTTGCTGCTCCTGGAAAAATTAAGAATAAAAATTTAATGAATGAAATAGATTTCTCTACAAGAATGTTCTCTGAGCCACAACCTTAAATTCTTTCAAGAATATACTTTCTGATATACCTACTCATGCATTTACACTGATATACTTAAAAACACAAAACTATCATTCTAGATTGTCTTGCACATGTTAACTCTCTCATTACCTTGCAGAATGGGCTGGACTCTTGGGGACAGAGCGGGATCTCCGAGCTCGCGTCTGCTGCTCAAGGTGAGGATCATTCATGTCATCCTTACTGGAGGAGGAGTCTGAGACCTGTGACAACTTTCTAAGCGTAAGAGTGATCTGACTAACAGTTCTGACTGGCCGACGTCCACAGATATCACTACTGCCACTGGATGATGCACTGGAGAGAGAAATATGTGAAGTGGTTCTTGTGACGCTGGTGTTGGTGGAGAGGGGCGCGGAGTTGATGTTGGTCATGCTCAGCCCGCGCCGGACGACCTCCTTCCTTCGAAGCGCATGGGACGCCTGAGTTTGCAGCTGATTGTGCTCTAGTTTGGAAGCACTGGCAGGGCGCTCAGGAGCCAGAAAGGCCCCGTCCTCCCCGGCGTCGTTCTCCATCAGGAAGGCTCTCTTGGCCGCATTTGAGATGTAACTGTAACCCGAGGCTTGGTCCTCGTCCGACGGAGAACTCGTCCGGGAGTGGTCGTGGTCAGAGTCCGTCACGGGAGTGATGGGAGACATGGCAGGGTGGAAGGACGCGGCGTGTCTGTCTCCTCCATACTCATCCCTGTTCCTGCAGCCTCCTTTGCTGCAGTCCAGATGACCCCGTGAAAGGATGTCTGGAGTCTGGCCGTTTGTCAAAGCCTTGATGTTTACTTTATTTGGCAGAAGATCAGGCTGGAGATCTGCACGTAAGACTGAAGTGGTTGGGGGCCTGGACGGGGTGGATGTCAAGAATGATGGGTTTATTCTGAAAAAGAGAGTGAGGTGTAAATGAAATATGATATTCACAGACCACACAAATAGTATTCCTGATTAATCTAAGTAAAGGTACAAAGCGATTTCACCTTCATTTGTTCAATAATTGCCTGGAAATTCTAAATAATCCTTACTTGGCACTTGTCATGGTGTCAATAACAGGACTGGGCGTTCTTGTACAAGGCGTCGAGAATCCACTGTCTATACTCATGGTCTTCCCTCTCGCCTTGTCCGTCAAACTCTGCATGGCTTTCGACCCAGCTCCATCAACCTTATCTTCCCTAGGTACATTAACCGATTTCTGAAGCCCCTCGGACGTTTTCCTTAATACTGTTGGTTCTTGACACGTGCGTTTCAGGTAGGAGGGCTTCTCGTGGTGCACTTCGCCTGTGACTAACATACGCGTGGCAGAGCTGGATTCCTTTCTCAAGGGGTACTTCCCTGTGCTCCTAGCTAGGTGGTCGGGAGACATCCCCTCCTGACCCGCAGCAGACCCTGAGCTACTCTTGTTATGGCTTGGCTCATCTGTACCGCTCTGGACACTCTGGCCCGAGTCCGAACTGGGAGAATTTTGTGCGGAATTTTGAGACGAATGCCTGCCAATGACAGGCGTGTTGGGGATGGAAGGAGGACCCCAGGCTGGAATAAGTGGCACTCTGTCCTCTTCATTCGACTGAATCTGGGGAAAGAAAAAATTCCACATATTACAACAAATCTCTGAAAAAAAACAAACACCGAAAAGGAAAATCCACAAGGTTTCCATCATCACCCAAAAATCGACACTGCATTCCATCTCACAAAGAAACACGGCTCCAGCTCTTACCCTCAGGGACCTCAGCATGGTGTGGATTTCCTGAAGGTCGAGCTCCCTCTCGTGCGAGTTCCACTTGAGTCCATACTGAGTAAGGTAAGTGACGAGGGAAGGGGGGGAACCGCTTACGGGGGGCAGGGTCTCTCCCCCGCCCACCCGTCTCACCACCTCGGCCTCCTCCACGCCCGACCAAGGTGGCATGCCTGGAAGAAGGGGTGTTATAGAGAGAACTGCGTGGGCGTTTTAGAGAGTATAGTGATGGCGTTTTCGAGAGTATGGTGTTCACGTTTCAGAGACTATAGTGATGGCGTTTTAGAGAATATACTGTTGGCGTTTTAGGGAGTATAGTGTTGGCGTTTTCGAGAGTATAGTGATGGCGTTTTAGAGAGAATAGTGATGGCGTTTTCGAGAGTATAGTGTTGGCGTTTTCGACAGTATAGTGATGGCGATTTAAAGAGAATAGTGTTGACGTTTCAAAGTATAGTGATGGGGTTTTAGAGAGTATACGATGGCGTTTTCGAGAGTATAGTGATGGCGTTTTCGAGAGTATAGTGATGGCGTTTTCGAGAGTATAGTGATGGCGTTTTCGAGAGTATAGTGATGGCGTTTTCGAGAGTATAGTGATGGCGTTTTCGAGAGTATAGTGATGGCGTTTTCGAGAGTATAGTGATGGCGTTTTCGAGAGTATAGTGATGGCGTTTTCGAGAGTATAGTGATGGCGTTTTCGAGAGTATAGTGATGGCGTTTTCGAGAGTATAGTGATGGCGTTTTCGAGAGTATAGTGATGGCGTTTTCGAGAGTATAGTGATGGCGTTTTCGAGAGTATAGTGATGGCGTTTTCGAGAGTATAGTGATGGCGTTTTCGAGAGTATAGTGATGGCGTTTTCGAGAGTATAGTGATGGCGTTTTCGAGAGTATGGTGTTCACGTTTCAGAGACTATAGTGATGGCGTTTTCGAGAGTATAGTGATGGCGTTTTCGAGAGTATAGTGATGGCGTTTTCGAGAGTATAGTGATGGCGTTTTCGAGAGTATAGTGATGGCGTTTTCGAGAGTATAGTGATGGCGTTTTCGAGAGTATAGTGATGGCGTTTTCGAGAGTATAGTGTTGGCGTTTTCGAGAGTATAGTGATGGCGTTTTACAGAGTATACTGTTAGCGTTTCAGAGAGTACAGTACTGGCGTTTCAGAGAGTACAGTACTGGCGTTTCAGAGAGTACAGTACTGGCGTTTCAGAGAGTACAGTACTGGCGTTTCAGAGAGTACAGTACTGGCGTTTCAGAGAGTACAGTACTGGCGTTTCAGAGAGTACAGTACTGGCGTTTCAGAGAGTACAGTACTGGCGTTTCAGAGAGTACAGTACTGGCGTTTCAGAGAGTACAGTACTGGCGTTTCAGAGAGTACAGTACTGGCGTTTCAGAGAGTACAGTACTGGCGTTTCAGAGAGTACAGTACTGGCGTTTCAGAGAGTACAGTACTGGCGTTTCAGAGAGTACAGTACTGGCGTTTCTTGCGTTTCAGAGAGTACAGTACTGGCGTTTCAGAGAGTTTACTGTTGGGGTTTCAGAGAGTATTGTGGTACGGTGTTCATAGATTAGCATATGGAGTGTTTTGGCAGAGGAAGGGACTTTACAGGTCTGTCTCAATGCATAATGATATAACGATGGACATTTTTTTTGTGTTACTGCTTAGTTGCATATTTTAGACATGAGTTTTATGGTCATTATATGAGAGACGCAAGAAACATATATTCATTTTATCATCGCCAGAGGGAAATACCATAATTAGTGAGACTATCTACTACCCCTGAGATGCTCAACAAACACTTATAGATTTTACCATTACTATAGTGAAAAGCCAAAAAACTTATATTTACTAAAAATAAAGAATTAATCACAAACCCAACAATTCTGCAACCGACAATTACATCCACCGCTCTTGTCGCAACCACAGACATCCACACACACACACACACACACACACACACACACACACACACACACACACACACACACACACACACACACACACACACACATACACACACATACACACATACACACATACTTACACACTCACACACACACACACACACACACACACACACACACACACACACACACACACACACACACACACACACACACACACACACACACCCATCCCATCACACCCATCCATCCCATAACACACACACACCCATCCACCCCCTCCCCACACCCCCACCCCCACTCACCGGACCAGATTTCCCACATGATGGCGGAAAAGGCGTAGATTTCGGAGCGGTCCGAGACCATCTGCTCGCTCAGTGTCTCGGGAGCCTGCCACGGGTGGAGCCACGTCGCGCGGAGCAGCTGGGGCGCCTTCATGCTGCAACCCTGGAAGATCGAGTAAGTGTTGCATAAAGGCGGGTAAGTTGGATTGCAAGATCGAGTAAGTGTTGCATAAAGGCGGGTAAGTTGGATTGCAAGATCGAGTAAGTGTTGCATAAAGGCGGGTAAGTTGGATTGCAAGATCGAGTAAGTGTTGCATAAAGGCGGGTAAGTTGGATTGCAAGATCGAGTAAGTGTTGCATGATGCACAAAAAAATACAACAATAATAAGATTAAAAAATTAGAAATAATGATCACTAACCTAAACTGACGAACAAAAAAAAAAGATAAATAAATACAATAAAGCATAGTAATAATAACCATCACGAACCTAAACTCACGACCATGAACAAAAAAAATCCTAATACAAAAAAAAACAATAATAATAAAAAAATAATAATAATAATCACGAACCTAAACTCACAACCACGAACAAAAATTAAATAACAATACAAAAAATAAATAAATAAATAAATAAATAAATAAAACAATACTAATCCCTCTGGAGCTGCCCTCCGCCTCATTACCTTCCCCTGCATCTCAAGGGCGAACTCGAAGGCCCCGAGCTTGGCGTGGCTGGTGGACACGAGGTGGAGGGCGTGCGACGA